AAAAAACTTTTTTACGATTTTGATACATGAAATAAAAATTTGGAACGATACCAAGTAAGATAATTGTCAAGGGCATTTTCTTATACTTCGTTTTTCATTGTGCTTTTATTCATTGTGTTTGACGATTCGCAAAAGAATACATTGAAGAAGCTTCTTAAATACATAATGTACGCAAAGTATTGCCTTAGTAACAGTAGATCCATACATTGACATACTTCGAATTTTGAATTGAAACAGAGCGACTGTAAGATTTGTTTCTTTCTCTCTCTCTCTCTCTCTCTCTTCTCTCTCATTCTTTACATTTACTTATTAATACACGCACGAACAATGTGCTACCTGTTTCATATACGTAAATCCAATGGCACCTACTAACGTTCCTGTGATATTCTATACGACTGATGAGTTTAAAATGTGATGAATCACGATCCATTTTATACAGCTGGCAATAGAAATTATAGTTTCTATAACACCAATCTTGTACTTTTATAACTTGTAACTTCGTAATTACTTTTATCTAATTTCCTCGGCGAGCTTCCGAGAACCTTTTACATTTGATACGGATATTTGATACTTGAATTTTTTAAATGCTTTTTATACGATACACACCCCCCGTCGTTTAAATGTTAAGACGAAAGTAATCTAACAATTAGAACGTTATATGTTTTGTAATCTAGATATCACGAAACAAGACGATCGATCGTAATTAAATAGAACTTATTAACTTTCTTCTTTTTCTTTTTTTTTTTTTTTTTTTTTTTTTTTCTTTTTTTTGTACAATTGTTCGATGTAGTATGAGTCTAACTTATGTTTAAATATTTGCATGATGTAAAAATATCAATACCTTACAGTTATGGATCGATATACGATGTGTATGTATTAATCTTTTATTGTAAATAGCTACCAGAATTACGAAAATTGTGTAGTGATTTTTTCGAAACTGTGTAATACGCGAAGCAAAAAGACGTTACATCTGAGTATTAAGCTTTTATATATATGTAGGGTGTTTGAAAAAAAATATATATCAAATTGATAATTTTTTCCAACATGTATTCATTTATGGATTGAAATAGATCGCTCTATATATATACATATATATATATATATATATGTATATGTATGTATGTATATCTCGTTTTATATCTCCGATTATTTTTCGTCACTATCAAATCGGAATGGCGGAGGAAATGTTCTATTAACAGTATACGCTAGAGAGATAATACGATAATAAGTATTATCAAAAGTATTCTTTATAATTAGTTATCACCGTTGCAGCGTGAACGTTTTATCAAGATATTGCTTTATCCCGCATAGCAATAAAATATTTTACACGATATAATTAATTAGCAACGTGTATAGACATAAATTGTTAAATTAGTTATCTCTGGCGCGTAATTTGTAATTTTTATTTTATCGATATAACTGTACTATCAGGTAGATGATGTTGATAAGTAAGGATTACTATATGTGCGACGTTCTTTTGAAAATATCGTGCTGCCATGTACAAATACATGTAAGTTTCTCTCGAATTGTGTACGTAAAGATATGCTATGAATCGTCGTTGTTTAATTTTTTTTAGTACGTTTACGTTCATCTAAATAACTAATTTTAATACTTAAAGCGATGTATAATGTACATTTAATGTCCTCTCATTCATCTGACTTATGTTAATCTGAATTTACTATAAAATAACGTTTTTAATCTTTTATACTCAATTTAAATAATAAGAAACAAAGAAAAAAAAAACCTCGGCCTATTTTTGACAAAATTGATACGGTCGTTACCGTTGTTTGTACTGATCGTGAAAAAAATTACTGTTAGTCGATCAATCCGTGATTTAAATTCAACGCGCAAACAAAACGCTAGATATAGATTTTTATCAAACATCGATCTCGATCAACTTGGGCGTTAATCTTCTATAATGATACCCTTTTATTCTATATATAACATATTTTTTTTAAGGGATATTTCTAACCGATCGCAATTGAATTATCCATCGATGTCAATAATTACAATACTTGAGTAGTCCTTTAAACTTTGTCCGATATCAAACGGTGCTGAGCAATTGGAAACTGGCGCGCGCAGTGCTTATAGCTGCGCGCGCACACGCGAAGAGAAACGCGGCAAAGTTCAAATCCATTTAGCGGCAATCTGTATTTCCATGTATTGAATTGACGCGTTTATAAACTTGTGCAAACGAAGATACACATTATTGTAATTACGTAGCGGTAATCCCGTGAAAGATTCTCAACAGTTTATATTTTTAATACCGCGAGTTTAATGCACGCTTACGTGCGTTGTATTGCTAAAAATATACACGTTGTTGGATCGGAACAATGACGCTGTGCGCTGCTGCGTAATTGCAATGATATCGCAATGGCTCGTCTGCACCAGACCTAATTAAAAAGAACGGAACGGTTTCTGTGCTTCGTATGTTTCGTAATGAAAGAATGTAAAAAGCTCTAAATAGAGGGCCTACCACCGCCGTCTCCAATCCGACTCGTTGAACCG